AGTCACCCAGTTTGTGGCAGTTTGTTCTGGCAGCCCTGGGAGACTAACGCACTCCTGCAGTTTCCCATGTCTTCATCTATTATAATCACCTTTTCCTGTAGATCCTTTAACAAATTCATTGTAATTATTTAAAAGCCTGCCTATAATTCCAACATCCAGATTATCTCTGGATCTGTTTCTACTGACTTTAAAAAAAAATCTTGTTTATGGGTCACATTTCCCTGTTTCTTCCCATATCTAGTAGTTTTTAATTCTGTGCTAGACATTGTGATGATACAATGGAGCGCTTCTGGATTGTGTGATCTTCCTCTGAAGAATTTTGCATCTTGTTCTGCTTAATTGCCGGCCATTCGGCTTGATCCTGTGGAGGTTCGGTTTTAGACTTTGCTAGAGCAGGTTCATTTTGATCCTTACTCCAAAGTCATGGTCTCCCAGGATCTCAATGAAAAGCCTGGCTTGTTTACCATGCCACTCTAACTTGGTGAGATTTGAACTAGAAAATCTGTCTCCTTAATGCCAAGCAGCAGCAGAAACCTCTGCTCAGTCCTTCCAGCCATCCAGCTGTGCTTTCCCCTGGGTTCCTTAGAGTCACACCGCATGCCAAAATTAGCCAAGAACTGGAGGGGAGTTTTCTCTCTCTGTGGCTCTCTTTTCTGGGATTTTTCTCTCCTGATTTCTAGCTGCTCTGGGGGCCCTGAACTACAACTTTCCACTCCTCAGCCAATAAGGCTTCTGCTTTCCACTTGAGCTCTATCCCCTATGCACTACATGAGCTAGGGAGTGCCCTTAGGGGAAAAGCCAGATAAATATGTCTCTCACCAGTGTGGTTTTCTTGTTTCCCCTCCAGTTTCTGCCTGCTTTTGGTCACTTTCCAGTAATCCCCAACAAATCTGTTTTATATATTTTGTCCAGATTTTATAATTGTTACCAGCAGAAAGTTAACCTGATATAAGCTATCCCTCCAGTACCAGCAAGTCTGTGCCTTGTAAATCCTTACATTATGCTGCCTAAGACTTATAATTTAGTGCTCGTGTTAGGTCTAGTTTTAGACTTGACATTGGAAGTCACATGGTTTAGTAGAACATGCAGGCCATTTTGGGGGGTCTGAAGCCAGCCAGCCCTGATGTTGAGCCTTGACTCTGAAACTCTGCTGTGTGACCTTGAACACAGTCCTTCATCTCACTGAGCCTCAGTGGCCTCAGCTATCGGAATCACAGTCCCTGCCTTGCGGGATGAGGAATGGAAGTAACTTGAGCAAAAGCCCCACCCCGTGCCCACACATGGTAAAGTGCTCAGTAAATGGGAGCTGTTATTAACAGTGAATCACATGGTTCTCTTCTTGTAAATAAAGATCCCCAATGACATGATGGTCAGTTGGACCCAATTCGTGGCCCTGAGTAAGTACCCACTCTACTCTGTTGACACATTTCAGGATACAAGGTGATGGCCTCAAGTTTGGTTCTCACAGTCGTGTCAGAGGTGCATCTGCTGAGTCCAGGGAGGGACGTCCATCCTCTGAGGTAGCCCACACTGTGCCTCTGGGCAGGAGAAAGTCCTCAGCTAGAAGACCAGCGAGGACTCCAGCCAGCTCACACCTGGGCAAAGTCAGGTCCTAGTTGAATGAGACGGGCCAGGTTGGGTGACATCACTCATGGGGCTTAAACAGCAACCCAGATAAGGAGAAATCAACACACTGGGTATTTACAGGGAGGGTCCCCTCTGAAGGGGCAGAGGCCACTGACACAGCCACAAAAACAAGCACCTTCGCAGAGGAGCCCATTGTCTTGAGGCAGAGCTGTGGGGGCCAAGGCTGCATTCTGGACGAGCTGGGTGGCCTTGGGCAAGTCCCTGCCCCTCTCTGGACCTCCTTTGACCATCTGCACAAAGAGATGACATCTCAGGGCCCTCTCAGCATGGGATCAGAAATCGGGGGCCCTGGCCCCTAGCCGTGGTCCTGCCTCCATCATGGCAAGTGAGGTACCCAACCTCACTCAATCATTCTGCCTCAGTTTCCCCATCTGTAACACAGGGCACGCATGCGCAGTACTCCCTTCTGCACCAGGCTGTCATGGGTCCCTTAAACATAACAAAGTACTCTGAAAGCCAGAATATCAAACGTATATTGTGCCCCAAGATCTACAGCCTTGCACCGCGCTGGGCAAGCTCAATAGTCTCGCATTATAAGGGCAAGTAGGTGAAATGGAGCCAGCCCCCCTTGGGAAAAAAATGAGAGCTTTCAAAGAGAGACAAATAACTTGCAATTTAAATGCATAAGAGACCAGGCTGTGCCACCACATATGCAGATAGATGCAAATGATATGCAAATGGCCCAGAATAAGCCTGAGTTTGCCAATGTCTTCTGCCAAGCAGCCACTTATGGGGTTCAGCCAGGTCTGGTCTGTGCCAGAAGCTCACATCTGGGGCCCAGAGGCCTTGGGGTGACTGTTCAGTTGCACCTCCTCCAGAAAGCTTTCCAAGACCCAGCAGGCTGCAGCCCCTTCCACGCCCCTCCCCAGGCCTGGAGCCTGCCTCCGGATTCTCTGCAAGGGTAGTACCTTCTCTCGCTCCAGACCGTGAGCTCCCGAGGGCAGGGGCTCCGTCTCGCTCACCGTTGCACCCCCAGATCTGGCACCGAGCCTGACACTGAGTGGGCGCTCACGGGTTGCAGGCTGAGTGAAGGCAGGAAGGCAGGATGGGGGGGGTGAGTTCATTTCCGAGTCCTCCTTGACCCAGGGGACAGGCTGAACCCTCCTCAGGAGCTTTCGGTTGTGCTGTCACCGATAATGGGTGACACTCAGCATTGGTATGCTGTTACCTGTGAAGATGAAAGGGCTGAAATTTGCAAGGGACTTGCCTAATTTATGAATCAGGAAAGGTTGCACTTGGTTGATATAATGACCTCCTTACCCCTCCCTCTTTCCTTCTGCCATCCTTTCTGGGCTGGGCCAGGGCCTGACCCAGAGGCAGTGGACAATAAATATGGTTGACGAACGAACGAATGAATGAATGAATGAGGGCCTGAATGAACAAAGGAAGTTTCAGCTAGCTTTCTAGAAACTGCCCATAAGCCACAGCCCATTCTGTCCACACCAGCCCTCAAGTTCAGCCACTGATCTCTGTCCACGTGCGGCAGCAATTCTGAATTCTTTTTGGTGTCTGTAAACTTCAGGGACCGTAGCAGACATTTTGTGCCCCATCACATCCCTCATCCCACTTCTGATTTCAGCTGCAACAGATGGACAGCCCTGACTCCCGTGGACGAGTGCGCCACCCAAGCAGGCGCTTTTCTGCCGTGGGGCTTTCCCCAAAGCCTCCTGAGCCACTAGACAGCTCAGAAGTGGGAAGCAAAGGCCCCGGGGTGACCTGCAGTGGTGGAGAGGAGCCAGTGGATAGATGCTCACTTCCCATCTTCTGGAAGGCAGTCTTGGGAGGGTCTCCACATGCTTCTGGAGCTCCTGGTGGAAACCAGCCTCCTCTCGCCCACAGCAGAGGACGCCCCATCGCTCCTCCTCCTCCCCGACTCACTCTCCTGACTCCTGGAGTCACTCCCAAGTCCTAAACTCAAGTTCTGCTTTCAAGGGGCCCCAAATCAGGACAGGGGTAGCTCCCAAATCTGGTTGCACCCAGGGCTGTGCATCTCATGAATATGAGATACCTGCAAATGCAGAAAATGGATTGAGAATGGCTCGTCCCCACAGCCAGAGAAACGGTTTCATCTATAAGCCAATGCCCCGTGGTCTTGGACAAGCGCTGGTTCACTCGCTCAGCACAGAATTCTTGGCCTCCTGTCTGTGCAGGATGCAGCAGACGAGGCCCCGCCCTGGCGCTGCTCACAGCCTAGTGGCGGTGTGACAAGGATACCGATGGGTGACCGGGAAGGGCTCTCTGTGAATCCTGAATCCTGAAAGCCACCCTGTTCCCCTGTGGGCACAACTGTGTCATTTACAGAGGAGGAACTGGGGCTCAGAGTGAAGGGACTTGTCTCAGGGACGGTCAGACAGCTCCTGGGTGGTACAGCAAGACCTAAACCCCCAGCATCTAAGCGGCGGCCAGCAGAGATGCCTCCTGTCCTGGAGCACGCCGCCCTGCTGGGGGCCCAGGGCGGCACAGGACAGAGGTCTGCTTGGGAGGCACGTGGCCCAGACTCTAGACCAGCCTGTCCAGTAGAAATAGGACACCAGCCACAAATGCACGTGGGCGATTTAAAATTTCCTGGTAGCCACATTAAAACAAAGTAAAAAGAAACTGGTGGCATTTATTGTAATAATATTTGTATTTAGTCTAATATATCCAAAATATTATCCTTTTGACATGTCATACATATTTAAAATTATTAAGGAGATATTTACTTTTTTGTTTTTCATACTAAGTCTTGGAAATCTGGTGTGTGTTTTAGACTAAGGCACATCTCAATTTGGACTGGCCACATTCCGTGTGCTCGCTAAGTGGTGACGTGTCGCTGATGGCTGCCAACTGGACAGTGCAGCCACACCACCACCACCACCACCCCCGCCCCCGGCCATGTGTGACCCCTGCCATGTGTGACCCCAGCCAAGTCCCTTCCCAGGGTTCCTTCATCAGAGGGAAAGTGCTTTGCAAACTCACCATGACTGGGGCACTAGGACCTTCCTCTCACTCATCCGCCCTGGCAGATGAGGGACCCACAGAGACAAAGTTTCGGAGGGCCACAGCTTTGGGGAGACATGCACCCAGGTCCCCTTGTGGTAAGAGACGTCTCTTCCCAAGCTTATGACCTGGAACCCCGCCCACCCTGGAGATGGGGACGGGAGGAGCTGGGGGAGGAGTCAGCGAGCAAATCTTTCCCTCCTGCTCAGCTGCCTCCTGCCCCTGCCCCAGGAGCAGACCCCGCAGCTCTGGGGAGGGCTAATTACAGTCCGTTTGAACCCAATGGCTGCCACCTCCCTATTAAAACGCCAGAGGCTAGTTCTGCTCCTACAGTGCAGGGGGGTCTGCCACGCGGGAGGGAGGTTAAGGTGAGTTTAGCGACCCGGCTGTAACAGCTGCTTTAATTTTGTAAAATAGGAGGTCTGTGCTTGGAGCTGGTTCTGGGAGAATGCCGGCTCGCGCCTGCACGCATTAGACACGTTTATCGAGCGCCTCGGATGTTTATGCGTTACCGCGAGGATGCTGGAGATACAGACTGGAAAGGAACTGGGCCTGGCGCCGGGGAGTGCGAGTCCGGTGGAGGAGGCTGGACGGCGAGCCAACAGCCCTGAAGCTCCGTGCGGAGAGCTGCCAGGCGCTGGGGCCGCCACTCCGCCTGGGCCAGGGGGTGGGAACAGCGAGTTCAAAGAAGAGTGAGATGGGGCTGGTGGTCAGCTGTGTGCCTGGAGGGCAGGAGGCCTAGGAGGGTACCCATGGTAGGCTGGGGCCAGCCCAGGATGGATCTTAAATATTCTCTGAGACTCTTGCTCCAAACAGCAGGACTGCAGGAGGAACCCTGACACTGCTGTGGCCCCTGGCAAAATCCCCAATTAGGTGGGAATGTGTCAATTCAATTCCATTTCCCCTTCCAGAGGCCTCTATTACTGCTCTGCTGTGGGGAACGCGGAGACGCACAAGACATCAGAAAACAGCAAACAGGCGGGACTTCCATTTCCAGCAGTATTGTGACTTAGACAGCAGAGAACCCGCCTGCTACAAAGTCCTCCTTGGAAATGGTGGCTAAAATATAACAAACACCCTTTTAAATGCATGGCTGAGCTTGCAGGAAAGGAGGGGCACTCCCCAGGGATCAAAACAAAGAAGCAGCTGAAAAGCAGAGCAGGAGGCAGGAGGGATGGTGCTGCGCTGGGCGCGGGCAGGGCAGGGGCTTTGGTCTCAGCAGCCTGGGGGGTGGGCAGTGCAGTCCCTGTGGGGACAAGAAATCAGGCTTGGGGCTCCACAAAGCAGAGAGTTGAAAATGAGACCCGCCTGCGAGCCACTCTTCCATTCGCAGTGAAAAGGTGGATGAGAATAAAAATAAAAATTAAAAAACCATTCAGACGGATCACCAGGAAGCTGATCTGCCACAGCCAGGCCCTCCGGTAAGATACGGGGCTGCTCCAGGGATTCCTAACCAGAGACGTATCCTCAAGGGCTCTGGGAGTTAAATTTACACCGTCGTGCTCTAGAGACCCTGAAAGCAAGAACTTAACACAAAAAGGGCTCCCTGGCTGGCGACACCCCTGGGCACTGGGCAGAAACAATACGAGCAAACACGACCTGAACCCGGGCTGCCCAGGGTCCTGACCGACAAAGGTCCCTGCAGATGAGCTCACAGGGAAAAATCACAAAACAAGAGCCCGTCGTAAGTGAGAGTCAGTGGCGAAACCAACGGGAGGCGTGGACCCCCCCAGGAACCTCGGATGGTAGATCGAGCAGATAGAGACCACAAATAGCTGTGATTAAAATGACTAAGAAGTTTGGGGAAATAGAAAAAAGAATTAAATATAATGAAAAAAAGAGCAGCCAGGGTTCCTGCTTAGAGCTAGAGATTAGACACAGGCATTTATCCCCACTCCCTCCAGAATCTCCTCCAGAACGGCACAAAAAGGAATTTTTAAAATATTAGAGTGACAAAGAAAGTGGGGTAATTTTGAAATTGGAAAGCAGATTGATGAGTGGGAACTGACTTAGTGGGTGCAAAAAAAAAAAAATTTCCTCTCTGCCTAAGCTGGCAATGAGGAAATTCCAGAACAAACAGAACCCCAAAGGGTCTGGAATCGAGTGCCAGGTACTTCTGGCAGCAGAGGCAAAAAGCAGATTGAACCACAGGGGATTTGTTGAAAGACAGTTTAAAGAGCAGTCAGTAACCAAGATCCCCCCACCCCCCAAGGTGACTGCCCCCACCGTATTCCCACAGAAGACACATGGCTTATTCCCTGGAGGGGAGAACCAAGGGACTTTGTACAGGGGAAGAGCGGATCCAGCGGGGGCACGGGCATCTCTCTGAAGACAAGGTAAGTGGGAGAAGGTCTTCACTTTGAATACTGATACTACCAACTGGCAACCAGGCTTGGTGTGAACCTCTGTGCAGGAGATTGAGAGGTAACTCTCTGCAGATCTCAGAAGGCCTGGAGGAAAGACTTAAAGGCAGTGACATCAAGAGTCCCCCAATGAAAGAGCCCAGACAGATCAGCCTCCAGTGGGGTCCAGCGGGCAGCCAGCTCTGAGCTCTGTGCTTCCAAGCAGCCTCTGGGTGCAAAAGCCAAGGATCTCCAGGCTCATGAGGGAAGCCCCTCACCCAGAGCCAAGCAATAGCAAATGGAGAAAAAAGCAATTTGGAGGGGACTCAGATGATGATGACAAGAAGGAGGAGAAGATGCCAAAAAAAATATCATTAGTATCATCAAAGACAGAAGAGAGACAGCACACATTAAACAAGTACAGGATGTTTTTAAAAAGGAACGTTCTGAGAACAAAAAATATCTCTTGGATAGCACAAGTTAAAAGCTTAGTGGAAGGACTGGAAGATAAGGTTGCAGATGAGCAAATATTCCAGAAAACAGAGCAAAAGGACAAAGCATAGGAGAGAAAAGACATGAAAATGAGAGAATCAAGATGGGAGATCTTGGGGCCGGCCCCATGGCCAAGTGGTTAAGTTCACACACTCCACTTTGGTGGCCCAGGGTTTGGTGGGTTCGAATCCTGGGCGTGGACATGGCACTGTTCATCAAGCCATGCTGAGGCAGCATCCCACATGCCACAACTAGAAGGACCCACAACTAAAAATACACAGCTATGTACCAGGGGGCTTTGGGGAGAAAAAGGAAAAATAAAATCTTTAAAAAAAACAAAAACAGGAGATCTAACATCCAAATAAGAGAAGTCCCACAAAGAACAGAGAAAATAGAAAAGGGGGTGGGGGGTGTTAAATAATCAAATAAGTTATTCAAATAAGTTTCTCTGAATTAAGTGATAAGAGTTCCCAGATTGGAAATATCCACCAAGTATCTAACAAAATGGATGAAAATATTTGCACAGTAAGACACATCCTTGTGAAATTTCAGATCACTGAGAACAAATTAAAAATCACACACACACTCCCAGACAAGGAAAAACCGGGTTAAATACAACAAATCAAGAACCGGAATGGCATCGGACTTCTTGACAGCACCACTGGAGTTAGACCACAATGGAGCAAATGCCTTCAAAATCCTCAAAAAATTTTTTCAAACTTAGAATTCTATACCCAACCAAACTATCAATCAATTGTGAAGGTAGAAGAAAGATGTTTTCAGAAATAAGTGGGCTCAAAAAGTTTAACTCCCTTCTATTCTTTCTTGGGAATTTACTAGAGGATGTGCTCCATCGAAACAAGGTAGACCAAGAAAGAGGTTGAGGTGGGAAACCAATACATGAGAGAAACAATGGGAATCCTAAAGCTGATGAGGAAGGCAGATCCCAACAGGCCTGGAAAGCAGCCAGATGAGATTGGAACAGACAGGAAGGATCTGGGGAAAATGCTTCCAAGAGGATGCAATTGGGAGGTTGATGTGCTTGGATGTATCAAGAGGCAGTTTGTGCTGCTGGGGAAGGGTTTGAGATGAATCCATGATAATTACTCAGGAAACTAAGCAAACTAATAAATAAAAACTAGACAATATTAACTACAAGGTAAACAGAAGATTGTAGAAGAAAAGGAAAATAACTGTAGTGTTCTACACGGCACAGGAGTGAATAGGACCTATGTAATCATAATAATGTAAACTTTATTGTGATTTGACTATACTGGAAGAATGGTGGGACAGGGAGTGTATGTGCAGAAGGTGGAGGTAGGGTGGTGCTGATGAAAGGCAGCTAGTTCCTCATCTTCTGTTGCGGAAAGTTGGAAGATAATGCCTAAAATTGAAAGGAAAAAAAGGATCAATAAAGCATGTTATTTAGCGATATAGAGGTAAATTCCAAAAACAGCAGTTAAAAGAATTGAAGTTGTTTGCCTCTGGGGAGCAGAAAATGGAGGAATTCAGGGACAGGGGACAGGAGGCTGCAGTTTTTCATAATAGCCTTGTGGACCTAGTTGATGCTTTAAGCCATATGCATGTATGCAACTGAAAATTTAAAAAACAGATGAGACAGACTGAACAGCAGATTTCTCATGTACTCGTATTGCCATCTTGAATCCTTGCAGCTGCACCAGTCTATGAGAGTCTTGGCCAGTCGTTCTGTCCCAACCAATGCTGCATAGACAACTCCACACAGCACAACCTGACAGCATTTCTGCTCCTCCCGCCATGGGCTTCCTGTGGCTGCTGGCGCTTGAAATGCTGTGGGATCCACTCAATGCCCAGGCATGTGCAAGACGGTTCTACAGGATCAAGCAATCGATCGTGATCAACATTGACCAGTGACCAGCTCAATAAGGTACCTTCATATTGGTTCTTCCACCTTTCTTTTTCTCTCACTCCAGCTTCCCTGGGACTGTACTCCCTAAACACTAGTGGCACTTCCTTTTCATCTCAGTTCTGCTTACTGAAGCTTAGAAAGTGGCTCTAGAAAGCAGACCCTTGGTTTGGAATTTGGTACTGGATTACTCACGTCACACTTAATGAAAGACCAAATGTTTTCCTGTGAAGATCAGGGACAAGGGTGCCTGCTCTCATTCCTCCTATTCAACACCATGAGAGAATTCCTAGCCAGTGCAACAAACAAGCAAACAAGGCATACAGCTTGGAAGGAAAGAAAGAAATCTCCTTCTATTCACACACAACATAATTATCTATATTTAAAAAACCCATAAACTAATGAGTTTAGCAAGATCACATAATATAAGTCAATATACACAAAAAAATGTATTCCTATATACTCACAATGAACAATTAGAATTGAAATCAAGAAACAGCACTGGGAAAAGTGAAATACTCAGGTTTAAATCTGTATGCTGAAGACTAGAAAACACTAATGAAAGAAATTCTAAAACACCTAAATAAATGAAGAGCTATACCATGTTCATGAATTGGAAGACTCGATTCTGTTAAGCTGTCAATTATCTCCAAATTGATCTACAGATTCAATCTAATCCCAAATAAAATCCTAGGAAAATTTTGGAAAAATCAATAAGCTAATTCTAAAATTTACATGGAAAGGCAAAGGGACTAGAATAATCAAAACAATTTTTTTTTTTTTTTGAGGAAGATTAGCCCTGAGCTAACATCTGTGCCCATCTTCTTCTACTTTATACGTGGGACACCTACCACAGCATGGCTTGCCAAGCGGTGCCATGTCCACACCTGGGATCCGAACTGATGAACCCCGGGCTGCTGAAGTGGAATGTGCAAACTTAACTGCTGCACCACTGGGCCGGCCCCTAATCAAAACAACTTTTAAAAATAACAACAAGGTTTCAGGACTCACACTGCCTGAGATCAAGGCTTTCTGTAAAGCAACAGCACTCAGTGTGGAGTTGGTGAAGGGACAGACGCCTAGATCAGTGGAGCAGAGCAGAGAATCCAGAAATAGAACCACACAAATATGGCCAATTGACTTTTTGCAAAGGGGCACAGGCAGGTTAACTGAGAAAGGGTCGCTGGGTTTTCTTTTTTCCCCACAAATTGGGTTGAAAAACTTGGATAGTCATATGGAAAAAAAAGATTGTCAATCTTTATCTCACATGTTATACAAAAACTAACTCAAAATTGATCACAGACCTAAATGATACATGTAAAACAATAAAACTTTTAGAAGAAAATATGGGGGGAAATCTCTGAGAACTTGGAATAAGCCAAGTGTTCTTAGATATGACACCAAAAGCATGGTATAGAAAGGAAAAAATTGATAACTTAGATTATATCAAAATTTAAAATTTTACTTCTGTAAAAGATACTGTTAAGAGACTAAAAAGATAAGCCACAGGTTGAGAAAAAACTTTGCCAACCACACATCCAATATAGGACTTATATCCAGAATATACAAAGAACTCTCAAAACTCAACAATAAAAAGACAAACAATACAATTTTTTAAATGGGCAAAAGATTTGAACAGTCACCTCACAAAAGAAGATGTGTGAGTGGTGAATAAGTGGATGAAAGATGCTCAATTTCATTCCTGAGTCTGAAGGGAAATTCATATTAAAACCACATGGGACACCATTACAGACTATTACAATGGCTAAATTTTAAAAAACAAACAATATCGAGTCATGTTGACAAACACTGACAAACATGTCCATAACACACCATGATCAAGTGAGGTTTATTTCAGGAAGCAAGGTGATTTAATAATTCTAAGAGATTTTTAAAAATCAACATATTTCACAATGTCAACAAAATAAAGGACCAAAATCATCTCAGTAGATGCATAAAAAGCATTCAATAAAATTTAATCTTCATTCAGAATAAAAAATCTTAACAACTAGAAATAGGCAGGAAATTTCCTTAATATGATACAATATCTAACATAAAGTACAGCAAACATCATACTTAACGGCAAAATATTGAAAGTTTTCCCCCAGAGCTTAGGAGAAAGGCAAGGCTGTTCACTGTCACCACTTCTGTTCAACATTGTACAGGAGAACCTATTCAGTGTAACAAAGCAAGAGAAGGAAATTTAAAGGATAAAAATTGGAGAGAAGGAACAAACCATCACTGTTCACAGACAACATGCCTGTATACATGGAAGCACTGAAAGAATTAACACATACGTGATTACAATCAGTAAGTGAATTTAGCAAAGTTCCTGGGTGAAACGTCAACATTAAAAAAAAAATCCATTGCCTTTCTAAATACTCGCCAATGATATCACTTAAATGCACCAGAAAACATCAAGTACTTGGGGGAAAATGACGGACAAGATCTCTATATATAAAACTACAAAACATTACTGAGAAAAGTTAAAGGCGACCCAAATAAATATAGCGATATACTATGTTCATGGATCCGAAGACTCAATATGGGAAAGAATTACATTCTTTCCAAGTTGATCTGTGGATTCAATGTGATTCCAATAAAAATTTCAGCCAATATTTGTGGAAATTTACAAGCTGATTCTAAAATGTACAAGGAAATACAGAAGACCAATCACAGCCAAGACAATCCTAAAAAAGAACAGTTAAAAGACTCACATTATCATATATTAAGTATAAAGCAGAAGAAATTAAGATGGTTGTGATATTGGCACAGGATAGAAAAACAGCCCCACAGAACCACAGAACAGCATAAAGGGCGCAGAAAAAGACCCATAAGTATAAGGTCACTTATTTTGTGACAAAGTTGTCCCTACAGGGCAATGGGAGGAACGTAGCTCTTTTCAATACATGGTTCTGAGTCAAATGGATATCCATATGGGAAAAAATGAATCTTGACCCCTACCGCACCGTGTGTAGAAATAAATTTCAGTCGGATCATAGACTTGAATGTAAAAGGTAAAACAATAAGCCTTTGAGAAGGTAACATAGGAAAGAGACCTTGGACTAAGAAAAGATTTCTTAAGTAGCACACAAAAGGTTCTAATCTTGTTGTGTTTTGTTTTTGTTCTTGTTTTGAGGAAGATTAGCCCTGAGCTGATATCTGCTGCCAATCCTCCTCTTTTTGCTGAGGAAGACTGGCCCTGAGCTAACATCCATGCCCATCTTCCTCTACTTTATATATGGGACGCCTACCACAGCATGGCGTGCCAAGCGGTGCCATGTCCGCACCCGGGATCCAAACCAGCAAACCCAGGGCCGCTGAAGCAGAATGTGTGCACTTAACCACTCAGCCACTGGGCCGGCCCCATAAAAGGTTCTAATCTTTAAAAAATAAGCGACAAATTAGACTTCACTGACATAAGAATTTTTGTTCATCAAAAAGAACATCAACAGGGGCTGGCCCCGTGGCCGAGTGGTTAAGTTCACGTGCTCTGCAGCAGGCTGCCCAGGGTTTCGTTGGTTCGAATCCCGGGCGCAGAAATGGCACTGCTCATCAAACCACGCTGAGGTGGCGTCCCACATGCCACAACTAGAAGGACCCACAACGAAAAATATGCAACTATGTACTGGGGGGCTTTGGGGAGAAAAAGGAAAAAATAAAATCTTAAAAAAAAAAAAAAAGAACATCAACAGAATAAAAATGAAAATTACAGAGTGGGAGAAGATATTTGCAATACATATTTCCAACAAAGAACTCATGTCCAGAATATATGAGAAACTCCTGCAAACTAATGTGAAAAAGACAGCCTCATTTAGAAAATGGGCAAAAAGACTTGCATCAAAAAAGAGGACATCAAAAAAGAGGACATCCAAATGACCAATGCACATTGGAAAAGGTGTTCAACATCATTCGTTATCAAGAAAATGCAAGTTAAAGCCACTATGAGATACTGCACACACTAGGAATTTAAAATTTTTAATTGATAATATGGCAAGGATGCAGAGCAACTGGAACTCTCATATTCTGCTGGCTGGAGAATAAATTGGCACAAACACTTTGGAAAACAATTTGGCATAATCTACCAAAGCTGAATGTATGCATATACTTCCTAGGTATATACCCAGTAGAAATGTGTACATATATTTTACAAGACAGATATACCAATGTTCATGGCAGCCTATGAATAAATAGCCTGTCTTAGTGAATTCAGGCTGCTGTAACAGAATACTATAGACTGAGAAAATCTTAAAAGTGCCCCTGGAGGGGAAAAAAGGTTACCACAAAGAAATGGCAAACCCATAGAATTCATAACTACAAAAGAGGCAAGAAAACAATGGAATAATACCTTCAGGGTGTTGAGGAAAATTAATTACTAACTTAGAATAATATACCTAGCTAAACCATCACTAAAGAGTGAAAGCTAAATGAAAACTTCTTCAAACTTACAAAATTCAAGAATTTTTCATCCCCCAAACTCTTGGTGAAAAACTCCTAAGGGATGTTCTCTGCCAAGAAGAAATATAAACCAAAAGGGAAAGAGTACTGAGAAGTAACCGTGAACAAATACATTGGCGAAGGATACTGGTACTGCTAATTATTAGGTTAGGACAGAGGTTTGCCTGATCTGACAGAGATCCAATGTGCCAGTGGCTCACCACGATAGAGCTTGATTTCTCCCCAAGTAACAGTCTGGGCATGAGTAGCTCATGTAACAGCTTCATGGTGTTCAGGACACAGCCTCCTTAGGTGTTTGTCATTCCATGATCCCTGTGGTGTTGCTCTTGTGCCCAGAGCAAGATGGCGCTCCACTGAATCCACCTTCCCATTAGTAGAAACAGAGAAAGGGAAAGACACCCCGTTTCCTTTTAACAGCATCATCTGTAAGTTGCACATCCATCACTCCCACTTGCACCCAACTGGATCTCCACATGGAAAAATAATGAGCCTCAATCCTTACCTCACACCTCACACAAAAACTAAATTGAAATGGATCATTGATCGAAGTTTAAAACGTAGACTAATGAAACTGCTGGAAGAAAATCTAGGAGAAAATCTTCTCAACCTTGGGGAAAGTGGATTTCTTAAACACATGAAAGTACAAACTGTAGGAGAGAAAATGGATAACTTTGACTCCATCAGTTTTAAAAAGCTTTTACCCTTCTAAAGACATCACTGAGAAAATGAAAAGACAAGCCCCAGACTGGGAGAAAATATGCACAACACAAATCTGACGAAAGACTGGTGTCTGAAATATTTAAAGAACAGCTACAACTCAATAAGAAAAAGGCAAATAACCCAATTAAAAGATTTGAACAAAGCCAGCCCTGATGGCCTAGTGGTTAAAGTTCGACACTCTCCACTTTAGTGACCTGGGTTCGGTTCCCAGGCGTGGAACCACACCACTCGTCTGTCAGTGGCCATGCTGTGGTGGTGGCTCACAGGGAAGAACTAGAAGGGCTTACAGCTAGAATATACCAGGATGCACTGGGGCTTTGGGGAGGAAAAAACAAAGAAGATTGACAACAGATGTTAGTTCAGGGTGAATCTTTCCCAGCAAAAAAAAAAAAATGATTTGAACAGATACTGCACAAAAGAAGATATATGAATTTTTCATTGCATATTATCTCATCCATATATTATTTCATCCATAGGAAAATATGTATATTTTTTCATCCACATGAAAGAATGCTCAATATCATTAGTCATTAGGGAAATGTAAATTAAAACCCACAATGGGGGCCAAACCCATGGCCTAGTGGTTAAGTTTATCACGCTCCACTTCAGTGGCTCCCAGGTGCAGACCTGTACCACTCATCAGTGGCCATGCTGAGGCAGCGACCCATATACAAAATAGAGGAAGACTGGCACAGACGTTAGCTCAGGGCGAAACTTCCTCAAGCAAAAAGAGGAAGATTGGCAGCAGATGTTAGCTCAGGGTGATTTTTCTTCAGCAAAAAACAAAACAAAACAAAACAACCCACAACAAAATAGCGCTTCACATTACTAGAAAGGCTAGATTTAAAAAGACTGACCATACCAAGTGTTGGAGAGGACATGGGACAACTGGAACTCTCAGACAATACTGAGAAGGATGCAACGTGCCGCAACCACTGTTCGGCAGTTTCTTATAAAGTTACTTATTCCTGCCGTACACCCAGCCAGTCCACTCTTCGGCATTTATTTACCCAAGAGAAATGAAAACGTGTCCACACAAAGACTTGTACACCAACGTTCACAGTGGCCTTTCCACGACAGCCCCAACCTAGAAACAGCCCAAATGTCCTCCAACAGGGGACTGCATAAAGAAAAGTGACGCCTCCACACAAGGGAACAGCACCCAGGAATGAAAGGAACAAACCGGCAAACTACCGACACACACGATAACATGGATGACTCTCGAAAATGTTATGCTGAGTGACAGGAGCCAGACCCAAAACAGCACATCCTGTGTAAGTCCATTTATGTGAAATCTGGGGAAAGGCAAAATTAATCTAAAGTGAAAGAGAGCAAAAAATCAGCTGTTTGCTATCTTCTTTTCGGTGATGTTTACATGGATATATTCACTTATCAAAACTCATCGAAATTGTACGTGTATTATATGTAAATTAGATATTGATAAAACTGATATTAAAAAAGAACAAGGAAGTGGGGAGGGGAATACAGAGGATACTGAATGTTCCAGTGCTTGTCTCCTGCTGAGGACAGAGGTACCCATAACTTCAGACACGTGGTAATGGAGCAGCCGCAGGCCACATGTGGCTCCTGAGCAGTGGAGACGGGGCTGGTCCGAGCTGAGATGAGCTGTAAGTGTAAAATACACAGCAGATTTCAAGAGTTAGCACAGAAAATGTAAATATTTCATTAATAATTTTACATTGATTAATACTATTTTTGATGTATGTTAAATAAAACATATTACTAAAATTCATTTCACCTGTTTCTTTTTACTTTTCACTGTGACTAGTAGAAAATATAAAATGATTCATGTGACTCATATTATATTTCTATTAGACTGTGCTGCTTTAGACATTGGGCATAGGAAAATATACTTCTAGGCAGCAATGTTAAAAATTTAAGGGCAACCCATTAAACAATAGAAATACATCCACAGTTTCTAAACTATCAAAGAAAAAAGAGGAAGAAAGAAAACTATAAATTTAACAGATGACAGAACATAAGAAGTAATAATTTTAAGAGTTAGGGTAAATAGATCAAGAAAATAAAATGGTAGAGGTAAGTCTAAATATATCAACAATCATTATAAATGTTAATTGAGCTCATTTGTCTGTTAAAAGACAGAGGATGTCATCTTGGATCAAAACAAACAAAACAAAACACAATATCATGCCAGTTAGGAGACATGCTCTAAAGCGAAAGAAAAAAGAAAGGCTGGAAATAAAATGATGGAAAAAGATACAGGAGGCAAATGCTAACCAAACAAAAGCCAATATGCTAATACTAATATCAGACAAAATACACTTTAGGCCAAGAAATACTAACTGAGATAAAGGGGGCCACCATAGGATGATTAAAATAAGAACCCACCAAAAAGGCCCAACAATAATAAGCTTTTTATACCTAACTCCATAGCCGCAAAATAAGGAAAGCAAAAACTGGAAGAATTACTCCAAAAAACTGAGAAGTCCACGAAAGGAATGGGGGATTCTAATACTCCCCAGAAACGAATAGATCAAGCAGAAAAAGATCTAAAGATCTGAAAGATTTGAATGACAGAATTAACAAGCCTGATGGGGTGGTGAGCACACACAGAGGCCGGCATGAACTTACGCACCTGCTCCGACAAGGAAGACACACCTGTGTTCCTCCCAAAATTCCCATGCTGAAGCCCTAGCCCCCAGGACCTCAGAGGGTGACTGAGTTTGGAGAAGCAGCCTTTAAAGAGGTGGTTAAGTTAAAAGGCGGCCTTTCGGGTGAGCCCTAAGCCGATCCCAAGAAGAGGAAATTTGGACACCCCAAGAGTCACCAGGGTGCCACACAGAGGAGGGGCCCTGGGAGGACGCAGCAAGAAGGCAGTGGTCTGCAAGCCACGGAGAGAGGCTCTGCAGAAACCACCCCTGCCCACCACGCGCCGGTCTGGGACTTCCAGCCTCCAGACCCGCGAGAAAATAAACCTCTGTGGTTTAAGCGCCCGCTCGGTGGTGCTTTGTTACGGCGGCCCTGGCAAACCGATACAGCGCATGACCGTCAGGCACATGTGGAACATTTATAAAAACCGCCCTTGTGTCAGGTCATATGTGAAAGCCTAAACAAACGTCAGAGTTGAGGTAAAGCAGACCACATCCTCTACCCACCATGCAGCAAAATTAGACGTCGACGACGATTACCAAGGCAGATTAAAACCAGCAACAGTTACATCTTTGACAATTAAAAAGCACACTCCTCAGTGACTCATAGGTCCAAGAGGAAATTGTTGTAGGAACATTTCTGTCCTAGTCCTGATGTTTCCATCCACGTGGAGGGAGCTGAATTAGAGTAACACTCCCAGTCTTTCTCCCTTTTGCATCCTCGGATCCAAAGAGGAAGAGAGTGACTTGGCCGATTGGTCCCTCGCGGGGGTGGGGGTGGGGGTGGGGGGATAAAATGGCCTTGCCTGACTTACCAAGGCTGGAGTGAGCTGCCTGCAGGCAGCGGTCCTTCTCTGTTCCCCACCCACCTCCCACAGCATCACAGGGACTGGGGTGGAGGCTGCCACGTCCCCATTTTCAGTATTAGGGAGCCCACTTGCCTGTCACATCCACCCTCATCCTCCAACCTTGTCTTTATCAGTTAAAAATAAACAAAAGATGATCCCGGGCCCCCACTCTTCATCTCATCTCAGTTCAGAATCCAGGGGAGGAAAGGGAAGTGATTTCCTGAGCCCCCTCAAAGACACAGACAGAAATCACAGTGGGAATTACAAAATATGTGGTACTGAGGATAAATGCAAAATAAAATTTGTAGAATGGAACTAAAATGACATTTATCGAGAAATATGTAGTCTTAAGTGCCTTTACTCTAAAACAAGAATGATTTAAACATTCATGAGTAGAGCTCTGACTAACTAAAGACGCTTTTAAAAAAAACAGTGGAAAGAAGTAAACAATAAAGATAAGAGCAGAAATGAAAAGGAAATCAACAATCACAAAAATGGTCAACAAAGCCAAAAGCTGTTTCTTTGAAGAGACAATAAGATAGACAAACATCTAGCAAGATTAATGAAGGAAAAGAAGAATAAAGGCATAAATATCTAATATTAAAAATGAAAGGAAGATGAAACTACAGATACAGTAGAAGTTTTAAGAATTATAAGAGAATCCCAGGACCAACTTTATGCTACTATATATGAAAATATATGAAATTGAGGATTTCTAGAAAAATATTGATGATCAAAGTTTACTCAAGAAGAAGAAAAAAACTAAATAAGTCAATGACTATTAAAGAAAATGAATCAGTATTTTGCAAATCATCCCGCTCGCCTCCCCACAGCAGTGGAGAGGAATGAGGCTGAGCCGTTCCTCAGAGGCAGAAAGAGGCAGGCAGGAACAGCTGGAATCTGGAAGAGCCTGAGTCCCATGTCCCAGTCCTCACAGAGGTCTGCTCCATTCCTGCTCTTCTCACTGTTTGCTTTCACATGTGAGCTCATAGGCTCTCCTTTTTTCCTAAGCAAATTCAGCTGTATTGGGAACCCAAGTACCAGCAGAGGTACCACATGTCCCAGTCAATTTCAAGAAATGGAAGCCCCAAGAAAGAAGGTAGGCGTGGCACAGCATTCTCACACGGTCCCTGGACTCCTCTGTACATGCATTCTCTTCAAAATTCCACACCCATGGCCGTGGCCACCGTGAAAAACAAACTCGCCTTCTCTCTCTGCTCCTCAGATGCCTCTGTGGGGTCCCTCACTCCCAGTTGGTCCTGTTTACGTCTCCCTTTCTTTGCGCTGCCTCATCCCAATCCTGGAGTGGGGGCTTCTGCTCCTGCCTGCTGTTCTGCACTAGGACGGCCAGAGGATCTCAGACTCCATGCCAGGCACCCACGCCCAGGTCCGCAGTGTCCCAGGGAAATGAGGACTGCCCCCGTCACTGAGGTTCAGCCCTGCCCGACACACAGCAGGTCCTTGCGCTGTATATGGGACATCTCCTTCATCCCCACCCCGATGCCAGCACAGGACTTGGCCAAGCAGCGCTTCCTCCAGGGAAAAATGTCCTCTGGGAGAAGCCAGAGAAGAGGTGCCTGAAACCACTGGACAGGACACCCCAGAGGATGGCTGAACTGGGAGTTTAAAGCAACCTCAGGGACCCACTTGCTCTTCAAACGAGAAGCGGAAAGGGAAAGACCTACACCGCGGGAGTGGGAAACAGGCCGCTGCTGACCTAGAACTTTTCTTCTGGAAGAGTCTGGTATGCACGGTCCATCCCAGGAAGCTCCCAGCATGGAAGGAAGCAAGAGGACAGACAACGGACAAGACCTGGGGGCCCATTCTGTGCCCTTGGAACCCATGTCCCCAGCAGACAGTCCCCCAGCAGCTCTGTGCGCCCCGGCAGAGAGGAACCCCGTCTTGAAACGCCCTCGTTCATCTATTTCCACAGTGATGACAGCAGGGGTGAGTAACAATCAGGAAACCAGGAGCCAGTCGAACGTGTGCAGTAAATGTATTTTCAGGCACTGATAACTATTTAATTGGGGCTTAATTAATTAATGTTCACAGAGCGTTTGAGATGCCCGGGTGGAGGGCCCGCTGCAAGAGACAAGTGCTATTATTCTATCAGCCGTGGTATTTAAGGCGTTCGTGTTCATAGATGTGAGGATCCTAGAAGACTAAATTCACTGAAAACGTACATGAAAATGAGCACCCTGCCTGACCCCGCCTTTCTCCACACCCTGTCTTCCCTCCTTCCTCCTTCCTCCTTCCAGAAACATCTTGGGTCTGTTAGAACCACTCTTGTGCGAATAAGCCTGTCTTAGACTCATGACATTTGACCCTTAGACTGGGAACTGGACTTTGGGACGGGGAGGTCCATGAGGGTAGCCCCGGGTCTCTCTGCTCCACTGCCACCTGGCACCGGGTCCCCAGCGGAGGGCTGCCCACAGCACCAGGAGCCTGATAAATCTCGGCGGGAGGAGTGAGCGCAGGTTAGACTCGCTGACTCAGAACCGCAGGCTCCGTCTCAGTGTTAGGATCACACACTGCTGGCCTCCCAGCTTCTTGCCCTGAAGGACCTAGAGAGGGGAGCAGCACCCCCATTTTTCAGGTGCAAAACCGAGGAGCTGTGGCTTCAGGGGCTTCTGCCAAGCACCCCTCTTGGTTGGAGGAGGGGAGGAGGGGAGTGGAGAGAATGGAGGGGAAGGGCGCAGGAAGTTTCCCTCCTGGTTATCAAGGGACTCCTGCCGGGCTGGGGCAGTAAGAGGAGCCCCAGAACCCCTCAGTCCCCCGCCCTGCCCCTACTATGCCCGCCATGGGGCCGGGGTGGGGGGCAAGTCAGCTCTGGGACTTGGGAGGACCCAGCAGAAAGGCTGTGAGCTGGACCAACTTCGGCTGCATTCTCCCCCTCGCCCACCTCTACTCCTCTCCCTCCGCCCTCCTCCGGGAAGCCCAGCAGGAAATTTGGTGGCCGGTCACGGAGTCCTCACTGGCCTCTGGATGAGCACCTGGACACTCGTATTTAATTGCCGTTCTCCCCAGTCTGCCTTCCATTTCCTCTCAAATGCTCCACAGAACTCACAGGTTAAGGGTCAGCAGTTCCCTGGGGAGAGACCTATGGCCCGAGATGATGGAGAAAGAGCTCCAGCCAGGGCCAGGCCCTGCCCTCTCTGGGCCACGGTTTCTCTGTCTGGAAATGAGCTGTGGACAGGAAGCGCTCAGAGACCCCTTCCAGCTCCCACACGCTAAGGTTTCCCTTTTTTAATGGACTCCACTCCTTGGCAGTGTGGCCTTGGGCAAGTCACTGAAGCAAAGCCTGCCAGCCCATCTGTGAAATGGGTGCATTGCCAGAGGCAGCCTGTCAGCTCGAGCGGGGTTTCCACCCCAACACACCCCTTGTTGCTGGTTTCTTGGTCCACCACGGAGGTGGCTCGGGGCACTTAGTTAAGGGTTTGGAGCTTGTTGTCCGGCAAAGCTGGCTCTGGGTTCCAGCTTCACGGATGGCTAAGTACATGAAGCAGCTTAAGCTCTCTGACCTTCAGTCTCCTCAACTGTAAAAAATGAACTTAACAGACACCTACTTCCTAGGATTGCTGGGAGACCATACCTGCAAGCTCACGGCACGTGCTAAGCGCTCGGTCAATGCCAACTGTCACTTTGTGGTTGGCTGAGGGGTCCTGCGGTCAAGGCACCCACTCTGGCCTGGATCCAGTCACCGGCTCAGAGCCTGAGCCAGAACTCCCTTTGACTGCAGACCAGTTCTTGAGTCCCCAGGTAGTGACACCAAGGCAGCAATGAATAGGATGCTCTGGACCCCCATCCCTTTCCCCCTTGCCCTTGGACCATTTTCTGAGATGCCCAGGACCCCATGGGCACAAAGCTTCTGCAAGGACCTGATTCGTCTCTGGAGGGGACCTGCATGCCAGGCCTCCCTCCCTCCCACCCTGGTCTGTCTCTCCCCTTGGTCTGTCCCTGCTGTCCCCACAGAGGCCAGCCCTCCTGGGGACGCAGCAGCAGGTCCTGCCTGCTGCTTTGCTGGTTCAGAGAAAACTGTGCTCCAGCCAGGTGGAGGGTGGAGGGTGCCCTCCGGGGTGCCAGCCCCCTGACCCAAACGGCCAGGCTCCCCCTGGCCCAGTTAAAGGACAGCTGCAGCCCTGACCTTGGTGGGTCCACGTGTGTGTGTGCCTTAGGGAAGCCATGCGCTGGGCCTTCAGACGCGTGGCCCCTGAAGTGTCATGGCCCCCCACCAGCCCCCCAAGTCATCCTGCCTTCTGAGCCCTTGGCTTACTTAGGCGTCTTCAGCTGAGACACTCTCTTGCTGTGCCCAGCGCTCCAGTTACTTGTGGACTTCTTTATGGCCCAAATAGTAATAAAATGTCCCATCGAGAGAGCACCACTCTGCATTGTGCCAAAGCTGCCGGCCTTGTCTCCTTAAATGGGTCCAGCCAAGCCCCAAGAAGAGGCTCTTACTGCTAGTCTGTCCCCATCCGACAGCTGGGCAAACCGAGGTTCAGGGAGTAACTTGCCCAAGGACGCACACAGCCGGGAAGCAGAAGAACAGAAGTTAACCCTAAACGCAAATCTGCTGGACCCAGCTTCCACTCTGCCCGCCAGGGCTTGAGTTCCCTGAGAGCAGGGGCTACTCCCCGCTCAGCTCGGGCGCCCTCCAGGGCCCAGGGCCCGGTCATGTCTAGTTGGAATCGACTGAGTACAGTGTCTATTGACAGAACCAGTTCAATGAGAGAGAGAGGGAGATAGAAGGAGAGGGGGAGGCAGTGAGGGGCTGGGGGTGGGGGGGGTGCTCACAGGGCAGATGGTGTCTGGTCAGAAGCCCTTCAACCTCCAGCCCCAAACAGACAGGGGCACCGCAGGTGCGCAGGTGCTGGAGCGTTTTGACATCACACTCCACTCGAGATACTGGACAGGACCCGAGGGTGTAAACTAGAATGTAGAGGCGGTAATAGGGAGCCGCAGATGGTCTGGGAGCAGGGGAGTGACTCAATGCGGAGGGGCGGAGGGACACGGCTTACACCACGTAATTGGGTGCCAGAGGCAACAGTCCAGTCCTTCAGAGCTCGGCAGACCCGGCGAGCCACGAGGGAAGGCGGGAACAGACGCCAGTGGCAGCCACCCTTCCCAAGTCACGGCGAACGCGACCGATCCGTCCGCCCTCACTGCAAGGCCTGGCTCCAGCCATACAACGGCCTTCTTGGGGAGAGGGGATGGTCAGCGGGGAGTCCCGGACACTAGGATTTGGGAAAGCGGGGTCCCTTCACCTGCCTTCTGAGGCAGAGAAGGGAGCTGCGAAGGCAAGGCGAGGCCCCAGAGAGCACTGGATGGGGCGCGCAGAATAAAGACCCTCGGGCCGAGGTGCACAGGCTCCAGCGCACCAGCTAGGGCGCTGGAGCGGGGGTGCAGGGGCCGGGGCGCGCAGGCTAGGGCGCTGGAGCGGGGGTGCAGGGGCCGGGGTGCGCAGGCTAGGGCGCTGGAGCCGCGGTGCAGGGGCCGGGGCGCACAGGCTAGGGCGCTGGAGCGGGGGTGCAGGGGCCGGGGCGCGCAGGCTAGGGCGCTCGAGTTGGGGCGCAGGGGCAGGGGCGCCCCGGGGAGCCCGGCCCCCACGCCCCTCCACCCGGGCCCGGCGGCCCCGCGGCGGGCGGCAGCAGGAGGCTCCCTCGGAGAAGCCGTGTGTGCTGCTGGCGTGTAACCTGATATTTTTCTGCGCGGCCCCCAGAGGAATTTTTCCATTACCCAGGCAGCACCGAGCGCCGCAGCCTTTTCTCGCTCCCCGCCTGGCTCGCCAGCCGCCACGCTCCCCCCGCCCGCTCCCCTCCCCGCAGCCCCTCCGGGCCGGCTGCGCCGAGGCACTTTGTGCAAATGTAACCTTTCCGCAGGCCCCGCCTCCGCCAGGAAGCTGCGCGCCCGGTTGCCAGGAACGCGGCGCGGCGCACTTGGAGCTGGAAGGCGGCCCGTTAATCAGCGGCGGCTGACAGAAAATCAGACAGCCCGGGCGGCCGGCCGGCCTCGGCCTCTCCCTCCCGGCGCCGCCGCGCCTCGCTCGCTGCGCGCTCGCTCTTTGTTCCCCCGGCTGGCCCTGCTCTTCTCTCCAAGGGGCCGAGCCTCTCCATCACGCCCCTTCTCCTCTCTGATGCTCGCGTCTTCTCTTTTCCCTCTCCTCCTGGCCCTGTGATTCCCGCTCTCTCCCCCTCCTGCCAGATCGCCTCATACTCGCTTCCTTTCCTCCTCCTGGAGAGCGGAAAGTAAAGGATAAGGGGCTCGTTCACCCCGTTCTTCGCCAGCCTGTTGGGGCAGGTTGGGCTCCCCAGTGTGCGTCTTGGTAACATCTTTGCCAACGTCTCCCCGGGATCTCAGGAAGCCCCCCTCCCCCAGGTAGAAAGATCTTAAGCTGAGCTTTATGGGTGACCTTGGGATGGAAAGGTCCAGAAATCCCTGAAATTATACGTCACACTTTGGGTGCATTTGTCCATGGGTTTTTCAAAGATGTCAGTGGTTCAGAAAGGTTAAAAATCACAGCCCCAGAGATGCTTCCCGTGCATCTTATTAATTCATCTATTCAACAAATATTTATTAGACCTACTGTGTGCCGGGTGTGTGCTCAGTCCTGGGGACGCGGCCATGAACTCTAGATGAGACGCTCGGCCCACAGCATAGCCACCCCACTCCCAGCAGGAGCCACACCAGTGCAGCCAAAACTGCACTTAAAATACGCATGGGAGCCGCCTATGGCCCCACTGTGTGCTCTCTGCAAGGTGGCAGTGACTGACCCCAAGGTCACTGAGGTACACATCAACAGGCTCAAAATGCGTGTTTGCAGTGAGAGCGTCCGCCAGCATTTGTTGAGCGACTGCTATGTGGCGGTCACTGTGAGAAGCAACTGACCTCCATCCTCTTTCGCTCGTCTCTTCGCCCCTGTAACAAGCGTCTGGCAGCCCCCTCTCGCCGGCTCCTCGCCAGTGCTGAGGACTGCTCGCCACCTCAAGGCTCCTCGCCCTCGTGGAGCTCACAGTCTAGTGGAGAAGAGACAACAGACAAACAAATGAGTTAATGAAGGTCGTGGTCTGTGACGAGGGCTGCGGATGAAACAAGCACGGTAATGAGACAGGGGGCCAGGCAGGAAAGGGGTGGTGGCGACCTTGGGTAGGGGTGGTCAGGGAGGGCATCCCCGAGGAGGAGGCATTGAAGCTGAGACCTACAGGGTGAGAAGGAGCTGGTCCCCTGAAGAGTCAGGGAGGAACTCCCCAGGCAGAGGGGACAGTCCGTGACAAGTTACTGCCATGCTCGCAACTACCTTGGGAGGCGGATACCACTACTGTGCCCATTTTACAGATCAGGAAACTGAGGCTCAGCACAGTGAAATTCCTTCTGGCCTGGGGTCCCTCTGCTAGGACCGGGCAGAGCAGGCCCTGGAACCCAGGCCTTCCCCCCACACTCTCTGCTCTCCCCTCCTGCCCCTCCGGCCCCCTCCTGAGGACTGGCCAGCAGACCCCTCGAGGAGGCAGCAGTGGGGGGCAGTGTGCAGTGGAATGCACTCTAGCCTGGACGAGGAGGCCCGAGTTCTAATCCTGTGTCCGCCTCTCCCAAGCAGCGTGACCTCAGCCGAGTCACCTACCCTCTCCGGGCCTCAGTTTCCCCCTCTGTGTAACGAAGATGATAAAGGCGCACCTCTCCTGAGGTGGCAGGCCAAGGAGGTCAAGGACCTAGAGTGTTTGGCAGCGGTCTCTGCCCCCACAAAGAGTTCAGTGACATCACGGCTGTCGCCAGATTAAATGAAGTGTTACTACCGAAGTGGTTTCCAGCCTGGTGAAAATTAGGCAGGATTCTTTTTGTTGCTGTGAGGCATAAACAAGAACGGCAGTCATGGGCTGCCTCACTCTTTTGCTAAAGGGCCTGTGGTGACACTGCCTGATGTCCCCTCTGCGCTCGCCTCCCCTGGCACCTGGCAACCGTGTACCTCCCCACCCTCGGCTCTCATTGGTGCCATCTGCAGGTTTGCCTTTCAAGAGGTGGCCAGGAGGAGCTTCTGCCCGCCGCCCCCGTCCTCAGCTAGAATTTACTCAGCCTCTCCTGGGCTCCCGGACTGCGGTGCGGGAGAGACGAGGAGCAAGGGATGCACGAGGATGGGAACCAAACGCTGCACCTGGAGAAGGAGGAACCTCACGGTTGCTGGTTAGTTCCCAGCATGGCCTTGGAGTCAGGCAGCCCCAGGTTTGCTGTCTGGGCTCCAACTTCTTGTCTAGAAAATGGGCGTGATGAAAACAGCGCTTTCTTCACAGCTGATCGTGTTGGACAAGACTTGGCCAGCTCCGGGCCCCAGCAAGGGCTCCGCTCTGTCGGTGAGCCTCTGTTACGGTGGTTCTTCTGCCCCGGGAGGTTGGCAGTCAGGATGAGGAGGCACCCTTTGAGCTGGACCTTGCAGGACAAAGACTGGAGAGTTCCAGGAAATAGAGTGGTGGCCAGAAGGTGCTCCTGGGCAGTGGCAGGTGGGTGAGTGGGAGCTGACAAGGAAGAGAGTGGGCCAGGATCTGGGCAGCCTCAGGACCACACAAGGCAGGCCCGCTGGACAATACGCTGCATCGGTGAGGATGCTTCTGGCTGCAGGTAACAGGCATCCTGACTCAGGCTGGCGTCAGCAATAAGAACACCAGAACAAAACCTAACAGGCAGCCCAGAGGTGGGGGCAGCCTTGGGGTCGGTGCTGGCCCTTCCCCAGCAAGACTGTAAGCTTCAGGGGACAGTGGAGGCCACCTGCTTGCCTCCTTCCTTGAGTCCAGTGGGAGAGAGGGTGCGCCGTGCCGCCTCCCTTCTGAACGGGCCAGGCTAGGTCTCCAGGAGACGCGTGTGCTGGTTGGCGTAGAACAGCGCCCCTGAACCTGGTGAGGAGCTGGCTTAGACACGAGGCCCTCCCTGCAGCTGGGGAAGCCCCACCCAGGACTGCTACACATGGGGAGGGCTGGGTAGATGGTGGGGGGACACCAGACACATCAGAAAGCAGGGTCTTTTGTCCTGTTTCACAAAGACCATTAGCCTCAGGGTCAGGGGCCAGGAGTCTGACCTCTCCCTCTACCCAGTGCGAGGGGCTGAGTCAACCTCACCTTGGCGTCCACTGCATCCAGCCCAGGGCCTGACCTGGAGTGGGCGCTCCGTGAAGGCTTGTTAAATGAATGCTGAATGGTGCGCCATTTCTGTAAGTTCAGAGCATTGCAAGAGAGCAGCCATCAGTTAAATAAACAGACCTGCAGACTAAGGTTTCTCAGGAGAATGTCCGAGACCCTCTACGTTGGAGTCACAAGGGGGCTGGGTGATGGGCTGCATAATCGCCTCTAAACACATGCAGGTTGTAGTCCCTGGAACCTTGAACCTTACCCGGAAAAAGGGACATTGTGGATGTGATGAAACGAAGGATCCTGAGCTGGGCAGATCACCCAGGTTGTCTGGGCCCTAATGTAATCACAGGTGTCCTTATGAGAGGAGGGCAGAGGGGCATTGGATACACGGGCAGCAAAGGCGATGTGCGCGCAGAGGCAGAGACTGGAGTGATGCGGCCAGGAGCCCAGGCATGTGGGGCCCCGCCCGAGGCTGGAAGAGGAGGGGGATTCTTCCCTGGAGCCTCCAGAAGGAACCGGCCCTGCCGACACCGTGACTTTAGCCCCGTAAGACTCAGTTTGGACCTGGGTCTGCAGAACTGTGAGAGAACAAATTTCTGGGTTTTTTTTTTTTTTTTTGAGGAAGATTAACCCTGAACTAACATCTGCTGCCAATCCTCCTCTTTTTGCTGAGGAAGACTGGCCCTGAGCTAACATCCGTGCCCGGCTTCCTCTACTTTATATGTGGGACACCTGCCACAGCATGGCTTGCCAAGCGGTGCCATGTCTGCACCTGGGATCCGAACTGGCGAACCCTGGGCCGCTGAAGCGGAAGGTGCGCACTTAACTGATGTGCCACCCGGCCGGCCCAATTTCTGTTGCTTTAAGCCACCCAGTCCGTGGTCATTTGTCACAGTGGCCAAGGGACACGAAGACAGGGCGGTCATCAAAACGCAGATTACTGGGTCCCTCCCACAAACTGTCCAAACCAGAAGCTCTGCATTGGAGCAGAGGGTGACCCAGGCCTGGTCTGCGCAGGAGAACACGACGAGAATTAACGTTGGCTCCTGGCAGCCTCTTTGGGGCCCTGAGGACTCAGTCCTGGGGAACTCGCCAGTTCTCAGGCCAGCCCGACCTGCAGCTCTCCTGGGAGCCCTGCCCCAAGGCCTCGCATGCGCCGTGCCCGTTCCCGGCCTGGGAAAGCCTGCGGCCCCTCCCCCCTTCCCTCATCTCCCGCTCCCCTCCTCTACCCTTGAGTGCTCCCACACGGCCAGGGTCCCTCGTCCCAGCCCTGCAGCTCTGCCTCCTGTCCCAGGCTGTGAGCCGCCCAGGGTGGGCCGGGGTCTAGCTTGACCCCCAGGTGTCCCCACCTGGTCACGTTACTCGTGACATTCTAAGGGCCCAGTAAACGCTGAACGTGCCAATGATGTCACTGACCCTTCTGTACCCACCGAGCTTCCAGCGGTGGGGCGGGGGTGGGGCTATCCGGTCCCTTTTCTCTGCCCCCTCCTGCAGAACAGGCCGGCCCCCTGAGAGCCACACAGGAGTGCAGGCAGAGCCCCTTCACACCCGCCCTGCCTCTGCCCCCGCCCACCCTGGGCAGCCGCTGGCCAGCAGAGAGGAGAGGAGTAGAGGAGCCCGCCCCCTGCAGCCTGGCTCTTTGGGGCTGGAAGGGATGGGCGTTTGGGAAGGCAGTGCAAGGGGAGCCAGCTCCATTCTGGACTCAGGACACTCATTCTCACCTGTGTCTGCCTCTGCCCAGCTGGCTGACTGACCACGGGCAGGTCCCCTCGCCTCTCCGGTCCTCCGTCCTCCAGCCAATGGGGCTCAACCCCAGGGGCCCCACAAAGCCTGGAGCCGGGCCCTGCATGCCGTTGGAAGGCACAATGTCCAAGTGTTTGCTTTTAGCGCTAATGTTGTTTGTGGGGACACGTACTCGCCAGTTCAAAGCAGGCTCTGCGGCCCCTGCTGTTACCTCAGCCTGCCGCTTTCCCCCCGCTGAACTGGCCCAACTCCAAGGACTTGTGGGTCTCTCCCCGCCTGCTCCCAGCCATAAAGCGACCTTGCAGATACGTGTGGCAGTTTCCCAGCCCACAGAAAGCTGATGGCAAAAGGATCAGATCCAGCCCTTCTCTCGACGGGCCCAGGCTTGATTGGCACTGCTGGCCACCTCCCTATCACTCCCCTCCTCGAAGTCTTCATGGCTCCCCATTGCCTACAGCCCAGTTTCCAGACTTCCCTTTCGAGCAGGGAGACTGTCCTTCTACACGTATTTTTATGAAACAACGAAAGCTGAGCAGCTCAGGTTGAGGCAGAAGTGAGGGGAGAGTATGGACTCCACCCCGCCCTCCCCGCTTCTTGAAGCACAAGCCTGATGGCAAACCGTTAGCTAAAAGATAACCAAGGTCGGAGTGGTCCACGCATCTCCCAGCCCCCATGGGCTCCCAGCCCTCCTTGGCTGGTCTTCTGGGCCACAGGCCATGGTTGCAGGAAGCCTCCCCGGAGAAGGCGGCACTTCTGGGCCCAGCCAGGTCCTCACCTCCCAATGCCTACAGATGCAGCCACAGATGCTTGGGTGAGCACCACGCCCTGTGCTGGTCACTGGGATACACAAGGCAGAAGTGTCAGCCTTCAGAGAGCAGGAAACTTCCAGTAGGGGCCTGGCACCCAAGAAACAAGTACAGAGAGAAGACGGCTGCAAATGGCAATAAACGATACAAAGGAAACAAAACCAAAGAATGAAATCTGACCTGAGGGGTGGGGGACATCCTTAGACCAGGTGGTCAGAGA